TTTGTTATATAGAAAGATGAGTATTTCTCTTTAATTTATTTTATTAAAAAATTATAATTAAAAGATGGATATTTTGTTTTTTCTTTTTTTACTTATAATACTTATTTATTTATTTATTTATTTGACATATCCTTATCGTATCTTATTTTTTGAAATTTGTCGCATGGACGTTTACACAGGTCCTATCTCATTGCTTCCTAGGTTTCAACCTCGGGTTACTTTTAAGTACATACCATTCCTATAGCCTATAGGCGTAAGTTATTGCAGTACCGACATGTCATCTAAGAGTTATATAAACCGATTTCTTTTCTTTTTGCTCGTGACCAAGTTGCTTGGTGACCCCAGGCAATTGTAAGGTAATGTTTGGTACGGTAGATTGGAAGGTGAAGGATAATATTAGTTATAAAGGAAAGGGAAGTGAAAGATAACTTCAACCTCCTATTATGTTTGATTGATTAATAAAAAAAAAGAAAAGAAAGTATAATAATCATGTTTGAAAAAAGAAATGAAAGAAAGGAAATTTACTATTATATCATTTTCCATTTTAAAAGATAAATAGATATATAAATATATATATAATAATGCAATAGCAAAATTTCAGCAACCTCTACCAAAAATAAAAATAAGCCACGTATATGGATGATGTGCCACAAGATTTAGGGCAAATCATTTCAGCCTCTCCAATCTCTCCGCCTCCATCTCTATTCTCGTTCTCAACTCTGAACTTGCCCTCTCTCTCTCTCTGTACTACAAGTATAAGAAGTTCAAAACTCATATGTTTCAGTTTATCTATTAAGAATCAAAAGTTCAAAACCAATATCCGCATGTCATTTCAGATTGTTTAAAAAATCAAAACCCATATCTTTTAGTTTCCATCGCCTACTGTTCTAGTTCGGGTTTGCCGTTCGCAAGCTTCAACCGCTATCTCTCAACTCTCTAAGCTTGCCCCCCTCTCTCGCTGCAACTGCTAACGGTATGTATGGGTTTTGTTTTAATTTTTTTTCTAAATCAACTAATCAAGGTTTGTAATTCTACATCCTAAAATCAAGTGTAATCTTGATTTTGTGAAGGGTAAATTTGGAATCAAAACTAATTCATCAACCCTAACCTTCCCTTTCTTTCCATTTCATCCCATTTTTGGAAGGATAAGCAAAACACTGTTCAAGATTTGACATAACCTTCCAAAACCTTCCCTTTCCTTCCACCATTTTTTGTGAAACACAAATTTTTAATCTCCCTCCACCACCTTTCCTTCCCTTTTCTCCCTTTTCCATTGCACCAAACTGACTCTAAAAGTCATATCATCTTTAATGTGTCAATAATTTCTTGTTTGAAACACAAATATAAACCTTTTGTTTGACTGTTCTTCTTATCTGCAAGTCCATTAATATTAAAGAAATCTCTTTCTTCTTGACTTCAATCTGAATAAGGATTGGAGTGACCCATAACCAAATAATGTTATCCATTTCTATTCTTGTTTTATTTCACCAAATAAGTGATACCACTGCATTATTGTTTGCTTAGATGGGTATGATCATCCAATTTTGAATTGACAAGCCAACAAGTTGAAACAATACCTGGCCTGTATTTTTCGGTGACAACTTGCCGATTGAACACACATCAATGCCTACCCACCATATGTGGATAAAAAAAGATAAAGTCAACAAAGACTTGAATAAATGCTGTATATCATAGAGTATATTTTATGCTTACATATACAGATACAAAATACAAACCAAGTCACAGGTCTCATTAGTGTCTGAGCAAAGTCTCAAGTTCTCAACGAAACAATGAAGCTCGTTAATGAGGTTCCTCTTCTTCATTTGATCTTGCTTGCATGGTGTCTTCTCGCTTTCAAGGCTAGATCAGCATCAGTTGGTAGGTCCACCTATATTGTCCACATTAATCTTAGTAGTCCTATATTAGTAGTCCTATATTAATATTAGTAGTCCATCTTTTTCTTTTAGAATATTCTAAATTAGTTATCTATTTAAAAATTCAAACACAATATCTATTCAGATATTTAAACTTAAAAAGGACAATTGAATAATTTTTTAAAAAAATAATTCATTAATCTTATATTCCTTTAATAAATTTAATACTAAAAATTAGATGTTAATATGGGATGGAGTGAGTTATGAGACAAGTAAAAATTAATAGTGTAAATAAAATTTGATACAAAATTTTAGTTGTATAAATAATTCTTGTACAACCGTTCACACGAGTAGATAAACCCACATGATTGCCAAAATACGTAAATGCCAAACGTGCAGTCCATAGCCATCCATATTTGACTTCAATGATAAGCCATCAAGTTGAAACAATATATGGCCCACTATTTTTGGGTGACAGCTTGCCTATTGACTACCAGAACACACTTAAATGCATTCAGTCTCTGGGCGGCGTTTTGAAACTCAGTCTCAATTCTCAAGCTCAACCAAGGACGGCTGAGCAGTAGGGTCGCTTGCCAGGCAATATAAAGGCCCTAAAATTAATATTATTTTAAAACTTTTTATTTTTTTATATTATTAAGGTCTTCAAAATTATTAGGGTAATTTATAGTTACGTCCTTGTAAATATGTCAAATTACGCCTGCATCTCCTCTAATTTGGATAATTTCACTTACCTTCCTTCTATGTGATCGGAGTTCACATCCAGTGACCGGAGTAATAAAATTACTCTTCTATCCTTGTTATTTTAATGCATTTTTTTAATTAAAAAATCTTACTTTTTGAATTTACCTCTAGACCATCAACTGGTAAAGCACTTCATCATCCTCAATCATCGGCTAGGTTTCCATATACAGTTGAAATGCCAATTTTTTTTATCTGGGTCCTTGTCTAAATCGTCCTTCGACGGGTTGACTCAGTTGAAGGTAGTCGAACTCAGTGAGAATTCGTCGCCTAGACAGTCAGCCTTGGTTCTTCTTCCTACCTGCAATCCAACAGGTGAACAAATTAGTGGGGAGAGAGATCTTGAGTAACCTGCCAGGTCGAGTGTGTGAAGGTAGTTAATCGAAGCCGACGACTAGGTTTCCGAGTAGCATCAGCCGCCTATGCCTCCACTGATCAACACCTCTGCCATGTCCCACTTCTATCAGTGCTCCATACGGTGACCCTCGCCGCCGCTGCTTTCTGTGAATCCACTGTAGACGGTGACCCCTATGTATCTCTAACCTCTCATCAATGGTAGACCAGTTTCTATCTTTGCCAACACCATGTGTGGTCCATTATGCCTGAGAAGATGGTGGAGGTGGCTCGCCGAAGGAAACAGAGAAGATATAGATGAACCTCAATCTGACTCAATCAATCTAAACCTTACAACATTAAAATTACTAAATCCAGTCATTAATCAGACCACCCAAACAACCCCCACCACCTCCCATCGCCCATTGCACCACCACCGACACCTCGATCAAAGCACCCACCCAACCCCCACCACTACTGTCTCTATTTTTCTACCACCAAATCATAAGCCTGACAACGCAAAAAACAACATGAATATGTGTAATCAAAATCAATCTCTTCTCCAATCGGATTGAATCTCCATCTTCGTCTCCAACACAGTGAAATTGTTGACCCATTTTTGTCTCCAATCGAAACCGATACGCTCTACATCTCAAATCAAAACCCTAAGGGTGTGTTTGGTAGGGTTGATTTGGAGGGATAGGGAGAGAAAAGAAAAGAGAAGATAGCGTGAGAGTGTGTTTGGGTGAACAAATTGGAGAGAAAAGAGAGGATAGGGAGAGATAGGGAGGGATAGCTATCCCTCCCTATCCCTTATATGCTTTCTCTCCCAATTTGAGAAGATAGGGAGAGAAAGGATAGTGGGAGTAAGTTGTAAATTGCTGATACCAAAAATATCCTTTACAAATCAACATGCTAAAAAGTAATTCCATTTATGTCTCAATTATTGCATAAACCTAAAACTAAATTTTCTTGCATAAACCTAAAACTAAATTTTCTTAATAGTACTACTAGTAATAATGAGTACTGTGGATGCCGATGTGGGAGAACATAATGCACTTTATTTCCTTACCCAACTGCTCATTGCCGTTGTGGAAGCCCCATAAAATATATGGTGAAACTGGAAAATAGTAGCTTTGTTCCTCCAGTTGGAGGGGTTTTTGTGAGACACCTCTCGTTTCATGAAAACTGATGACTTTCAAGTATTGCCCTTGTCCACTATGACTTTCTTAACCTTGCTTAAAGAGCTTGGAGTTGTGGATGGAACCACAATAAAACGGAGGTGTATAAAGATAGGCAACGATGAGGTAATTAACAAATTGTTGGAATATTATTTTTCTTTTTGGTGACTTGCAAACATGTTCTTAGCCACTTTAGGTATATATATATATTATTAACTTCTAAAATTATTATTTCCTTACACAACAGATTTTTTTAAATTTTTACTTATAATATTAAGGCCCCTAAAATTATTATTTTTACATAATAGACTAAAAATTTTTACTTCATTATATTATTAAGGTCCCTAAAATTATTATATTCTTATACTAAGCCAGGGTAATTGCAGAAATTAAATAATTGATGCAAAATTTTAATTCATTTAAAAACTTTTCAATTTACTTACAATTAGAACTCCTAATTTCTATTTTTATATCGCTTTTTGTTTTCTTTATCTAACTAATAATTGTGGCAATTAATAAAAAAATTCATCTTTTTCTATTACTTTTTATCTTTTCAAGTCATCTAAAATATTAAAAATAAATAAATAAAATATGAGTAAAAAGGAAGATGTTATTAACTTCATTCACAATAAAAATTAAATGTGCAAACCTCTACTACAATCAAAAAATTCTATTTAAATACTCTCTCCATTTCATAATAATCCTCGTCCCATTTATTACCGACGCAGGGTGTAAATATTATTAACACAATTAGAGGTTACTTTTATATGTTTTTGTCCACAACCTCTTCTTATGAGCCGCCCCTGATCTCAATTTCAACTATCGTGTATACTTAATGCTTATATATACAATATATACAGATACAAAATAGAAGCCAAGTCACAGGTCCCATTAGTGTCTAACCAAAATTTTCAAGCTCTGGAGGAAACAATGAAACTCATTAATGGAGTTCCTCTTCTTCATTTGATCTTGCTTGCATTGTGTCTTCTGGCTGTTCAGGCAAGATCAGCATCCGTTAAAAGGTCCACCTATATAGTCCACATGGACAAGTCTCACATGCCCAAAATCTTTGCTAGCCACCACCACTGGTACTCCTCCACTGTCGATTCCATAAACTCAGCCGCTCACACAACATCAAACGGTCATCAATCCAAACCAGAGATTGTATACAGTTATGACAACGCATTACACGGTTTTAGTGCACTGTTGTCTCAAGATGAACTAGAGACTGTAAAGAATTCCCCAGGTTTTGTCTCAGCTTATTGTGAAAGAGAAATCACACTTGACACCACCCACAGCACTGAATTCCTCTCCCTCAATCCTGTCACCGGCTTATGGCCAGCTTCAGACTACGGCAAAGACGTTATCATTGGTGTCATCGACAGCGGTGTGTGGCCGGAGAGCAAGAGCTTCAACGACAAAGGAATGACCCCAGTCCCCTCTAGGTGGAAGGGTAAGTGCGAAGAAGGAGAAGAGTTCAATTCCTCATTGTGCAACTTGAAGCTCATTGGAGCTAGATCCTTCAACAAGGGGGTTTTAGCTGCAGATCCCAACATCACAATCCGCATGAATTCTGCAAGGGACACCAGTGGACACGGCACGCACACAGCCTCCACAGCTGCTGGAAACATTGTGGAAGGCGTTTCGTACTTTGGCTATGCACAGGGGACAGCAAAAGGGGTTGCTCCCGGTGCTCGGCTGGCCATCTATAAGGTCAGTTGGGATGAAGGAAGTTATGAGTCTGATTACCTTGCCGCAATGGACCAGGCCATAGCTGATGGTGTTGACGTGATATCGGTTTCAATGAATGTCGGCCGTGGGGTACCTCTGTATGAGGATCCTTTCGCCATAGCTTCCTTTGCTGCCATGGAGAAGGGTGTGCTTGTTTCAGCTTCAGCAGGCAATAGAGGGGATTCACTTGGACAAGTGCGCAATGTGAGCCCATGGATCTTGACCGTCGCGGCAGGTTCAATCGATAGGTGGTTTGCCGGCACTTTAACTCTCGGAAATGGGGTAACAATCACCGGATGGACCCTGTTCCCTGCAAGTGCCTTGGTGTTAGACCGCCCTCTCATTTACAACAAGACTCTGTCTCCATGCAATTCAACTGAATTGCTGTCTGAAGTACCTAGTGATGTCATCCTCATTTGTGATGATATCACTGATGCATCTTCTGATCAAGCTCGGCATGTCTCACAGTCAAATGTGGCTGCAGCTATATTTATCAAAGATGATCCTGCATTCGTCGTCTCTGATAATGTTGAATTTTTTCAATCCAATGCATTCCCCTGTCCCGGGGTTGTGATCAGCTCTAAAGAAGCCATTGCCGTGATCAAATACGCTGAAAGTGCAAATACAGCAACAGCGAGCATCAAGTTCCAACAGACCAAATATGGTACAAAGCGTGCCCCTGTCGTTGCCTCATTCTCTGCAAGAGGTCCTGCCTTGAGCTGTCCCACCATTTTGAAGCCGGACCTAATGGCACCGGGGATATTAATTTTAGCAGCATGGATTCCAACTGCTAGGGCAAGTGCTATTGGCTCAAATATTGCATTGTACAGTGATTACAATATGATCTCCGGGACATCCATGTCGTGTCCTCACGCTTCTGGCATCGCCGCGCTCCTTAAAGGGGCGCACCCGGAATGGAGTCCAGCTGCTATTAAGTCTGCCATGATGACTACAGCCAACCCATTTGATAACACTGGCAATCCCATCCGACACAATAGCTTTAATTCTGATGCTTCACCCCTAGCCATGGGGGCAGGTCATGTTGATCCTAATCGAGCACTTGATCCAGGTTTTATATACGATACTACCCCACAGGACTATGTGAATTTCATATGCTCACTGAACTTCACTGAGAATCAATTCTTGACCATCACAAGATCAAAGGGTTACAATTGCTCAAATCTGTCTTCTGACCTCAATTACCCTTCCTTTATTGTTTTGTACACTGATGAAAAGGATAATTTGGTTCAGAAATTTCAGAGGACTGTCACGAATGTGGGCAAAGCCACGGCCACTTATAGAGCTAAGGTTGAAGCCCCAAAGGGTTCTGTGATCACAATCTCGCCCAAGACGCTGGTTTTTAAGAAGGTGAATGAGAAGAAGAGCTACTCTTTGACTATACATTATAGGGGATTGGAAAGTGCAAGGCACACATATGGTTCTGTAATTTGGGTAGAAGATGGTGGTAAGCATACTGTGAGGAGTCCTATAGTGGTCTCACCCTCACCTAGTATTTTTTGGTAGGTTCGTGTTTAAATTGTGCACCGGATGATAGGGAATTGCCATTGCCACTGTGTTTGTGCCCGGAAGATTAAGTTCTTCTGAATGGTGAAAATAAAGCAATGTGACAGCTTGAACTTTTCCTCTTTCTTTTTCAACAATTTCCTTTGGACTTTTCTTCTTTCTTTTACTTTCCTTCGCTTCATAGCCCAAGCTCTATCAATCTAATCTCATTAAATAGCCTTCTTTACGAAATATTTTTTTTTCTAGGAATCTAATCTCATCATATAGCGTTCACGTCACACAACCTTTTCTTTCTGGTTTTTTTTTCTCTTTTTCACTCACACACACACACACACACACATATATATATCATTTTTATGAGTCACAGTCTTCATATCTAACAAAATACTTAATTTTTAACTTCAAGTTCACAACTTTGACAAATGACCATATATGTGAGAGTTTGTGTGTAATTTTCAAGAGATTTCTCACTAAAAAGAAATAAATAAAAAAATAACCATTTACTTCAAATCATTAGATTTCTTGAGTCATATAAGAATTAATTTCAATTATATTTCTAATTTTGATTTCAATGATTGACTCACAACTATGAGTTCAAAATCATGTTTAAGGCTTGATTTCCTATCAAAAACAAAAATAAAGAAACAAAATAATAATGTACATGGAATATCATAGTCCTTAAGGTTTTCAAAGATAATTTTGACCACAAATCCATTATTGCTCACATGATTATGTGACGGAATGGAACCAAACCAAAAATTAAATATAAATATATTATAATATAACACAAGTTACAAAGACAATACCAACATGTACAAAATACAAAAACTGCACTTACATATGCACTTAATAGTCCCAATTCTTGTCAATGCTTGAAATTAGCACTGATCACTGCTATAATTTATACAATGTAACAACCCAAAAAGATACCGATCAACGGTACTAAAAACAAAATAATAATAATAATAATAAATAAATAAAAATTAAAAAAAAAAATTCGACATGACCTCTGCAGAAAAAGCCCTACTATGACCTATTGAAATACATATAAAATGCAATGGTCTCACTTGGCTTAAAAGCTAATCTGTCATGTCCCAACGCACAATACAAATAATATACAACATTCCCAATATCAACACATACATATAAAAAAGTCCTTTTCCTCCATCTCTGTCACGCCCCGAATCCTACGACTCAGGTCGCGAAGAAATAAAAGAAAATAGATAATTAAATAATTAATTAATTAATTCATTGGAGAAAACCGGTGTCATTCACCACATAAATAATAATAATAATAATAATAATATTACTAATAATTTGTAATGAAACACTTAAATAAAATTTTACTACTAAGTGGGTCCCAATGCATGCCTTCATTATAATTTCATGAACATGGCTTTTAAACAATATATATGATCCAAATAAAAGTTATAGCCTCCATGGCCTCATTACAATCCATAAAGTGAGAAATAATGTTAAGGGATTACATGAGTTGAGATAAGAGATGAAATTCCATAAGAACTCCAAAAGATGGATGGGTGACTTCCTAAGTCATTTTCCACCTCCAACAAAATATTACAAACATGTGTCATCAAATACATTATCCAAATACACCATGAGTCAAAATACAAGTCCAAATGTAAGCTACACAATAGATGTTACAATTATTACAAGTAGCTTAAAAATGTTGTCAATATTCCAATCAAGTTATGGATGAGGAACCTCCTCTTGGGTAATGCCCTTTCTTGAAAAATATAAGAATCAACGGGGTGAGTAACAAAGTGCTCCATAGGAATGTCTCATGAATATAAACTAGATTTCTTAAAATTTTACAAACATTGCATGGCCATACAATACAAGGAACATGCTCCCTAACGTCTAGCCTCAACGGGAACCTAAATAGGATCATCATTGTCTAGCATAAATAATATTAATTCATTCATCAAGACAAGCAAAAATAATATAGTGTAATGTACATAAATTTACAAATTGCAATAACACATAAATGGCAACTTGAAAATAAAAGTCGAAATCAATTAATGGGATAACTCGGAACACACCCACACTCTCGGTCACATAGCCATGCTATGTGCCTAAATAAAAATAGTCGTTTTCGGATTACTAGTCCGCTGGAAACTAACCGATTGCCCAATATAAAGTGGGAAAACTCATGTTTTACCCGCGGCGCCAAGCCCTCGCATTCTTAAAGTAACAACCCCCAAATATCTCCCAAAATCAACAAACAAGTCCACAAAATAATCCATATACCATGATATGTCCAAATTGCACTTCACATGCGCACATAAATTACACTAATCACACAATCCATGTCCTATGGTCCAAATCACTATAATGACATACTCTTTGATGCAATGTCAACAAATTGGGTATTTTAAAGTCATGTGATTTCATGTTGTTATTATATCAAATTTCAAGTATGTAAAAGTTTAATGTCATTATAGAAATGTACATATTCAAAGTTAACCATTACAAGATAACAAATATATAAAAATCCATGAACAACCACAACATATAAGACACTTTAATTACAAGTAATTGTACACACTAAAATCTAACACTTTAATAAACATCAATAATATAAAAAATGGAACAAATAATATGTTACACATGAAAATTAACACAAAAACTCAATAAAACATTATGGACATGCAATTAAATCATTCTATATGCTCTCTAATCCAACCCACATACACAAGTGTATGCATAACTCAAACAATGGTCATAAAATCCTAAGAACTCCTAGGTTATAAGCACAATACACCCCTACCTCAAGCTAGGAGTAAACCCTAGCTACTCCAAAGGAAAAATATGCTCCAAATCCGAAATTGATTGAGGGGTTTTGTTCCTTTTGTAGCCTCGTCAACTTCCTTTCTATGCAAGCTCAAAATCTCAAAGGTTGGAGGTGAAATGGTGGAGAAATGGTTGAAGTAAAATAAAAAAGAAAAGAATGGGAGAGAGGAGAGAAAGTGTCGGTGGAGAGGAAGAATGAGAGGGTTTGGTTTGTCTTCCACTTTCTCTCTATATACAAACACGCATATACATATCACACACATTCTCATCCATACATATCTTATCAACTAGTCAACCTAGACCCCACAACATAACAAAATGTAATTAAAATAAATAAATATAAAAGGGAAGGAATATATATATATACACATACTCGGTCCTCACAACCTCCCCAACTTAAAGGGATTTCATCTCCGAAATCAGGTCATACCTCTAGTCGAGAACAAATTCGGGTACTTGGAGCAGACCTCCTCCTCCCATTCCTAGGTAGCCTCCTCAACTCCATGATGCCTCCATAAAACCTTGACCAATAGAATGGTTTTGTTCCTCAACACTTGCTCCCTAGTGTCAAGAATCTGTACTAGCCCCTCCTCGTAAGTCACATTTTCATCAATCTCAATGTCGGCCTACCTCAAAATGTGTGACGGATCTGGCTCATACTTCCTCAACGTAGAAACATGAAAGATATTGTGAACCTTATCCAAATGTGGGGTAACGCCAAGTGATATGCAACCTCACCAACGCAATCCATGATCCCGAATGGCCCAATGAACCTAGGAGACAACTTGCCACTTTGCCCAAAATGCATCAATCCCTTACGTGGAGCGATCTTGAGAAAAACATGGTCTCCCACCTCAAAGGACAATGGTCTCCTTCTTTTGTCAACATAGCTTTTCTACTTACTCTGAGCCGTGACTGACCGCTGTCGAATCAACTTGATTTTCTCCATGGTCTCAAAAACAACGTCGGGACCCAAGGCAATTGCCTCTCCCACCTCTGTCCAACAAACTGGAGATCTACAAGGTCTGCCATATAATGCCTCGAAAGGTGTCATCTCAATGCTGGCCTGATAACTATTATTGTAAATAAACTCCACCAAAAGCAAGTGATCCTCCCAACTGCCTCTAAAATCTATCGTAGCATATCCTCCAATGTCTGAATGGTATGTTCAGACTAACCATCAGTCTGAGGATGGAATACTGTGCTAAAATGAAGCCCTGTGTCAAGAGCCTCCTGAAAACCTTGCCAAAAATGTGAAGTGAACCGTGGATCCTTGTCTGAAACAATGGACACCGAAACCCCGTGCAGCCTAAAAATCTGCCCCACATACTGCTTACTGAGCTTCTCTCCATCATCAGATACTTGCATAGGCAAAAAGTGAGCTATCTTGGTCAACCTCTCGACTATAACCCAAACGACGTCATTCCCTTTCTTTAACCTTGGAAGTCCCGTTACAAAATCCATGATAATATGCTCCCATTTCCACTCCGCTACTGGCAATGGTTGCAACAAGCCTACTGGCCTCTGATGCTCGGCTTTCACTTGTTGACAAGTAAGGCACTTGGCTACAAACTATGCAACATCCCATTTCATACCCTTCTACCAAAACTAGTGTCTTAAATTGTGATACATCTTGGTACCACCTAGATGAACTGCAGGTCGAGAGTGGTGAAAGTCCTGAAGGACACTATCATGATAAGGCAAAGGGATATACATTTTTCCCTTGAACCTAAGAACTCCATCTGAATGTAATGTCCAACCATCCATAAACTCATCACCTGAAATCCGTGCGCGAATGGACTCCATCTCATTATCTTGCATTTGTGCCTCAATTACCCCGCTAACAAAGGTTGGTTGAGCCACAAGACTAAAAAAAGTAGTCAGTGCATCATCATCACTAAAATACAGACCCATCTCTGTAAAATCCTCCATCATTTTTCATTCCCGGATGCCAATGCTAGCCAAGTTTCCATGTGACTTCCTATTCAAGACATCTGCCACAACGTTAGCCTTTCCTCGGTGATACTGCAAATCAAAATTATAGTCCTCCATATACTCCACCCATCGTCGTTGCCTCATGTTCAAGTCTTTTTGTGAGAAAAGATACTTGAGACTCTTATAGTCGAAGAAAACCTCAAACTTCTCCCTGTACAAATAATGTCTCCATCCCTTCAATGCGAAAATCACTGCCGCCAACTCCAAATCATGAGTCGGTTAGTTCTACTCATGAGTCTTCAACTGTCTAGACCCATAAGCAACCACCTGTTCCGTCTGCATCAAGACGCAACCCAAACCATCCTGTGAAGTGTCACAATAAATCACATAACCAAACCATGTTCGGGAATCACCAAAACTGGAGCCGTAGTTAATCTGGTCTTCAACTCCTGAAAGGCAAGCTCACAAGCCTCATTCCATACAAA